TTAACGAAGACTGTAAGACAGCACTGAAAGAACGTAATCGTGCTCTGCGACTGATTGAACGTTCTCCTACCGCTGACAACATGGCCCCTTTCCGCATTGCACGGGCGAAAGCCAGGCGGACTATCCGCCAAGCAAAGAGGTCGTCATGGCAGGAGTATGTTTCAAGGATCAACAGTCGCACGTCTTCCAAATCAGTCTGGGATAGGATTCGTAGGATCAAGGGTAAAGCGGATACATTATCTGTGAACCATTTAGAGGTAGATGGTTCAACTCTCACTACTCTTCCAGATATTGCGAATTCCTTAGGCCATAATTTTTCTTATAATTCTTCCTCTAACTTTTCCTCGGATGCTTTTCGGAGAGTGAAACTCCGGGAAGAGAGGAAAAGACTTAATTTTGCATTAAAAGAGGGAATATTATAATGATAAATTTACGATCTCGGAATTAAAGTTTTCTTTGAAACAGGCTCATGATACAGCTACTGGGCCTGATGATATATATTATCAGATCCTCAAACATCTCCCTTACCCAACATTAAAAAAACTTTTATGTATATTCAACCAGATTTGGGATGACGGTGTATTTCCTCCATCTTGGAGGATCGCTACCATTGTATCCATTCCTAAACCTGGTAAAGATCCTACGAATCCTACTAATTACCGCCCTATTGCATTAACCAGCTGCATATGTAAAACCATGGAACGAATGATCAATCAAAGGCTCCTTTGGCACCTTGAGTCAAACAATCTTCTTACCAACCTCCAATGTGGATTTCGGTCCCAAAGGAGCACTCTTGATCATCTCGTTAGATTTGAATCGTTTGTCAGGGATGCCTTCATCCAAAATAAACATCTTGTAGCCATATTCTTTGATTTGGAGAAGGCTTATGACACCACTTGGAGATATGGCATTCTTCGTGATCTCTTTGACTTCGGTCTCAGAGGACGATTGCCATTATTCATCTCCAATTTCTTACATGATAGGACGTTTAAGGTTCGACTTGGCTCCATTTTTTCAGATCCCTTTCCTCAGGATAATGGAGTTCCACAGGGTAGCATATTATCCGTTACCCTGTTCTCTATTAAAATTAATTCCATCACGTCGTGCCTTAG